AGAGAGAAAGAGGAAAAAAACAAAACAAAACAAAACAAAACTCCTAAAACTCAACATCGGTAAAGAGATCCGTTGGGATTGGTTTGCAGGTTTGGTTCCAAAACGCACGAGCCAAATTCAGAAGGAACCTTTTGCGGCAGGAGAATGGGGGTGTGGATAAAGCGGATGGCCCGTCGCTTCCGGCCCCGCCCTCCGCGGACAGCGGCGCGCTCAGCCCGGCGGGCACGGCGACCACTTTAACAGACCTGACCAATCCCACTATCACTGTAGTGACAGCCGTGACCTCTAACCTGGACAGCCACGAATCCGGGAGCCCCTCACAAACGACCTTAACGAACCTTTTCTAACATTGGTGTTTCCCCCCCTTTCATTCTCCTTCTTCTTTTTATTCTAATTATTATTATTTTATTATTTACGAGACTTCCCATCCCCTTCCCCTCCCCCCCCCCAAAACTCACAAGATATTCGGGAAATAGAAGCAACAGCTCGGTGTGTAGCATCCGCAGCCACTTGGCAAACGAGTTTACGGTATTGTCTCTCTCTCTCTTTTTTTTGGTCTGCAAAGTGTATTTGGATTTTTTTCTTTTTTTAAAATGAATCAGGTCTTTCAGTCGGTACGGGGGGTTTTTGAATCATTCCAAGTGCCTCTTAAAATTGTATGTTACTTATTTCCAAACTCTTAAAGGAGTAAAAACAAACAAACAAACAAACAAAAAAACCAAAAAAAAAACCCTGGTATTTTGATGGACAAATGATCATATTCCCAGTTAAATGATTAGGGTAATAAAGTATCTGATAATGAGTTAAACTGTCATTTTTTAAACATTGCAATTGTATGTGTACTTATGGAATTTTGAAAATTGCACATTTTTTAATTTTAAAACTGCAAAGTTTTGATTACTCTTTTTTTTTTTTTACAAATGAAGAATATGATTAAACAAAAGCACTGGCTGTAGCAACTCTAAATAGAAAAAGATTAATTAGGCAGGAATCTATTCCAGAAAGGGAACTTTCCCTTCTCTTAGAGATGTATATACCAACAAAACTTTCATCGGTTATTTGAACATCCGAAAAATACTTAAACTCCCTGTGTATCTATGAAATTTCAAATAGAATTTGAAATGCTATACTTTTAACCTAAAGCTAAAATTGATTTAACAACCATTCTTTCTAAATTATTTTTCCCCCAGGGAAAATGGAAATAAGTAAAATATAATTTTTTAAGAAGTCGAAAGAGATCAGTATAATTTAATTAAAAGCTCTATTAATTGGTTTCAGCTGTACCGTGATAGTGTATCTGGCATTCTATATGAATAATGTTAAAAAAAAACCAAACAAACAAACAAAAAAACCTTTGCAGTCTAATACCAACATGAGAATTCTTGGGTTTTGTTTTGCTTTTATTTTCCTTTGGCACAGGTCGATATATTTGTCAGAAAACCTTTTCTGACATTTGCGATCTGAAGTTATTGGTCTTAATGTAGCTAAACTCAGAAGCCTCGTGGATGCGGATCTGAATATATTTCCTAGTTTACAGTATCTTTTTTTTTTTCCTTTTAATTTAAGCTAAAATCTTAATGGTCTGGGCAGTGGCGAATGTTCATCTCTACACTTCTGTTGTCGTTAAACACCAATTAGATTGTGGATTTTCTAAAGAAAAAAATTTAAAAAGTCAAGATCTATGTCTTGCTTTAGTGGATTGTTAAGAAAAGCTTTGCACATATTCTCCACTTTTTGGACCCCTGAAGTCTCTGCTGGTGGTCGAAGTGGCTATTTAATAGGTTTTAAAGGTGTCCTTCCGGCTGTATAAATGTGTGGTTACATATCGACAGTTCGCTGCCCACATCAAAGTGCATTATTGTAACTTTTGCTCAGGGTCTTTAGACAATTAGCACAGAAAGTAGCTTATTTTTTAAAAAAAAAAAAGATGATGGAAGATAAGTTAACACTGTAACAGAAGTAAAGTGTGATTGCCATTATATATGTAGCACGTGTGGTTATCATCTTATACGGAGCTTAAATCTTGACTTTTCATATTTCTATTGCATTTCGGGCATTCACCACTAACCAGACCAAACAACCTTGGTGAGGCTGAGATCTTATTAATACACTTTTACAGGTAAAATATTGACCCTTATAAACTTTGTTCTTTGACAGAACAATATATGGTACTATAGATCTACTTTATGAAGTAGACTCATTATAACTCAGTTCTCCTATGTGCCTTACGATATAACTTGGAAGTAAGTTTGTGAAAAATCAGGATATATGTGTTGTTTGTTAAATTAACTGTTTTAAGCCCTTTTGACACCTCACTAGTTTTGTACTGTTTTACCTCTGATTTCCGAGACTCTTTTTATGGTGTATCCTGGTAGAGGGGACGAACATGTCATAGACAGCAGTTGTGCACCCAAGTATAGTGGATAAATCCAATAATCTTATATATTGAGCTTCGTGTTTATAGTACAGTAAGTGGTCTAGCAAAATCGTCCATGTTTCTTTGTTTATTGATAAATGCATTGTATAGAAACTATTTCCCCTAAATATTTATGGACCAAACAATTGTGATATATCCTATTAAATTTGTGTGAATAAACCGGTTTGAATCTAAGGAGTTTTATTTCCCATCAGTTTTATTTAAGGTTTAACTGGACTAGCGTGTTTCCAATATCTATATGTAAAAGCTATGAAAATAGTAATACAAATCTTTCTAAATATTCAGACATACCAATAGTTTTGAGATCCTCGAACTTCCGATTCATTTTAGAGGTACACGCCATTGCAAATGTAATGTAATTCGACTTAGAATCGTCTTTAAATATATTTCCTTATAATACAAGTAATGCCCCAGTGATTTGACTCAGCCCCATTTTTAGAACTAAAAACAAAAAAAAGATAACTAGCAGCTAAAGTAATTGCATGAAAAGAAACCTTAAATATGATTAAGATTTAATGTTAGGTCTATGAAGCACCAATGGATATTTGTAAATCTAAATAGAAATTGCAGACCCCTAAAAGCCAAGTTGCTCTGTAGTTAATAAATTGTCACTATGATTTTTTTCAGGGAGAACAAATCTTGGGGCATTACAGCCAAACATCCCGACGCTTGAAAATTCCCTAAAGTATTAAAGGAAGGGGAAAAGTTTGATCGGAAACCCACTGCAGTGAAGACAAAGACATTATTAGGCTATGATAACCATACATTTTAAAATCTATTAAGCCAAAAAACAAAAACAAAAAAAAAACAAACAAAAACAAAAAAGAGCGAGAGAGAGAGAGAGAGACTTAAATGTCATTTACTGAATGTCAACAAAATTCTGTTCTTTATGGTGTCTAACACAAATGGAGGCTTCAAATTATGTGGTTTCAAACAAAAGTGGTAAACCTTGTAGAAACCAGAGCAACCTGGCAGTAATATGCCCACCCCATATTTGAAACAAATTATTATTGAAAAAAAAAAAATTCCACACATTTGTCAAGCACAGTAGCTGTAAAGTCCGAAACCTTCATTTCACCTGCTTGCTAATGTGTATTATAGTCCTATCTGTTCATGGCATTTTCCAATTGTAAATTCAAAGAAAAGTTATCACTCACTTGAGAGTCTAGGGATCAAAACCCAGTAATTTTAGTATCATTGTTTATTCCTTCCTTTTTAAACAGAAACCTCTGCATGCACCCTTACACCTGTCGCTCTAGTGTGCACCTCTGTATGATGACTTCTCTTTGCTGTTCCTTGTATGGTAAATAGCTTTCATTAATAAACATTTTATTTGACGCAAACATAGTAAACTTTATGTTAAACACACACTGTCGAAATTAATTTTGAATACTGTCTTAAGAGGCAGCACAATACATTTCCAACGCGTAATACTCAGAGGAAAATTCAAGCGAGATCATGAGTTGAATTCCGGTAGTCTCAGATAAAATTACTTCCTTGGTTTTTAACTTTTCATGACCTCTTACTGTATCGATGGACACGTGTGTTAAGAATTTTTTTAAAGAGAAAACCCAAATTGCAACAAAAATAAACCTCAGTAAAAACTATCATGTAAAACTTCAGCACCTTTTTTAGATTATTAGTGTAAAATTTATAGATCCTTTGTCAGTTTACATGTTCACTATGCAACAAGCAAATTTATTGGTATACGAATATATTCTGAACTATGAAGAGATCCAATCTTTGCACGGTTCAAATTACATATGCTATTACAAACAAAGGAGCCAGTGGAAAGAAAAACACACATTTACGAATGAAGTTTTTTTAACTGTTGAACGGAATATTTGAAGAATTTTTTTAACGATTCCTATTTAGCTGTATATCCAAAGCATATGTTAAACAAATTAACATATAACTTTCCAGAACATTTTTCATTATGATGAAATTTTTATTATATACAAATGAACCCTATGTAAATGATGTAACTTTTATGAATGACAGACATTAAATATTTCACTTACATATAGTCTCAGAATTTTGAATGTTTTCTTAAATGCTTTCACTTCCTGAATACAAAAAAAAAAAAAAATCTAAAAGGAGAGAGTAAAATCACTAATAAAAAGAAAAAAAGCAACGCACCGTGACAGGTAGGCCATTTTGAGTGATCATGGAACATGCTGGTTTTTGTCAGCACCTCGAATGTTGATGCTTCATCGAAACCTCATCCGTGGCTGAAGCAACGTAAATAGGTTTTTCCGATACATTTCCAGCCAGTTTATTCAAATCCTCGTCCTCCAGCTTTACCTTCTCTCCCAAGGCTGTCACCTATGGCAGGTTGGCTTAGAAATATTTTGAAACCTCCCCTGCTTTTTACAGACCTTTAAATATTTGTCTGGGATGTCAAATGTGCAAAGAGACCACAGAGGGAACAAACATAACAGAAATTAGACATTCGGAAAAAAAAAAATACTATGAGTTTGAAACAGGCACATTTTTAAAAAGTAGAAGAAAAGAACGCTTTTTTTGGGGAAGAGAGAAGGCCACGGGACACCGAGCAGGAAGGTGTCGGCTTCCCGGGATGCACACGCTATTGTCTGGCAGCGGGGAGAGGAAGCTGGAGGCTGGGGACGTCCCGGCAGGAGGCAGGACACCGCGGTCCCGGAGCTCCCACCGCCCAGACGCCAGCCCGCGGCAGCCTCGCTTCTGGCAACTTGATCTTGGCCAAAAAAGAAAGCTTTCCGGTGCGTGAGCATCTGTCCGCTTGGAGTGTGCAGCCACCTTGATGCTGGCTTACAGAGTGGGTAGGCTTTTTCCATCTACCTCAGATCAGGATAAAACTCCCCAATAAAGGACCCAAAGCAAACACTTTTGAGACCTTGGTGATTTTTCATCACCTAAAAAAAAAAGAAAAAGGAAAAGATAGCTTTATGTAACAACCCCCCCGTGGAATCCACTGCACATTCTTCCGCGATAACCCATCTTGGGAGGCAGCCTTGTATAAGCCACATATAAACATGATCTCATTTTCTGCTGCGGTGTGCTTGCAAGGGGTGTCTCGGTGGAGAGTGTTAGAATTGGAACATTCTAGAATGGAAATTCGGAGTCACGGCATTCCAGGCTCTGAAGGAGGATGGCAGGGATCATCTCGTTGTATAAAAGGTAAACACCTAGTTTTGTATGGAGCGTTGCTTTTTACTTTCAAGTACGTTGTAAGCAAAGCTGGCTTTACTTGCAGAGAGTTCG